TAGAACTGACATTTCACAAAATGAAGACGACCGCGGTTGGTGAACGTATTTCTAATATTTTATGGAACTCGAATTTTCATTACTTTTTTCTGAGCAGTCCGCCACTGGACACTGTTGATAGCTATGTTAAATAAGTCCGCATATTCTTCAACCTGATCCTGCTAGATTCCTTATATTATCCTATTACCTACGATTATTTAATAAGTAGTTTGGGACATGTCGAAAGAACGCAAGATAATGCAATGCCAAAGGAAGGCTATATTCCAAAAGAAGAATAGGAAGACCCAGGATGAAATGGCCAGACGATGTTGAGAAGGACCTGAAGAAGATGAAGGTGAAAGGATGGATAGAGAAGATGAGGAGTAGAGAGCAGTGGAGACTGGTTGTAGAGGAGACCAAGGCTCACCCAGGGCTGCAGCGCCGAGTGGTAGGTAGGTGGGCAGGCAGGTGGGTAGGTATGGAGGCATGTAGGTGGGTAGGTATGGAGGTAGGTTGTAGATAGGTGGGTAGGTATGGAGGCAGGTTGGTAGGTAGGTAGGTGGGCAGGCAGGTAGGTAGTTGGGTAGGTAGGCAGGTAGGTAGGTATGGAGGCAGGTAGGTAGGTAGGCAGGTATGTATCTAATATTATATCTTCCAGAAGTAACTTTCCCTGTAGATACATCATTATCATTTCTCCCATGANTACCGGTTATCACGGTCTCTTCGCTTGCAGATTTCTTATAATTTTCCTTCTACCCTGAAGATGGAGGCGATACGTTCCTCCGAAACGTCGGTTAACACCACATATACACGGTGCCAAATCCCAGAAGACTGCTTTCTTCAGCTACTACATTCTCTGCTGATACTGATTTTATAGCTTTATGTCCTGTTTTGTCTCTTCTTTTATATACAAATACTGAACACACATATGTGTCCCCAAATGCACTGAGTATTACTTTCTCACTTAAGGTGAGAGACCATGTTTCAGTACATATTAAATAACCATACCGTTTCATTTTAAGTCTTTCCTTTTGTCGTTCACGGAAAGATATATCAATTAAGAATGCTGTTACCAACAAAACTGGTACATAAATATATCATGATTCAGGTTAACTTTCTAGTTCGTGATGTCATAAAGTAAAGCACAACTTCACTTCCTCAGTTAAGTTCCTTAAGTTTTCCAAAAAAAACGCAACTTCTATTGAAACTGATCTCTAACTAAAGCATTCGCCTGCTTCTGGCACGCATATGCTGATGAGAGCCATCCATTTAGTGTTTCATCAATATACATATCACCATCATATCATATATCATCATATACATGACGCACATATCAGTTTATGAATTCCTAGTTTCAGGAACTACCACACTCTTTGGGGTCTCTCTCACAGATACAGACTTGCCTCTTGAAAGCCATCTTTAAATGTATGCATTTTTTTTATTGCTAGTGGGGTGGGACTAAGTCCCTTGTACTGCGGCCACTTCTGGCCTATTGTACCAGCCCAAGATGATCGGTGAGGGTGATTGTGGAACAATTGGTGGAAGGAAGATTAGCAGGGGAAACCGAAGTACTCGGAGAAAACCTACACCAGCGCCACTTTGTCCACCACAAATCTCACTTGATCAAAACCAGGATCGAACCCGGGTCGCTGCGGTGGGAAGCCAGCGACTAACCTCTTGACCTATGGAGTGGCCAAAAATGTATGTAACACATGAGATAATTTCTATTTACCGAGAACCTTCAACAGCATGATCGTAACAGGGAAACTGTTTCACTGCTATACCTCAATTTTTTATATCAATTTCCGTTCCATCGAGATAATTCAGCAATATGCAGTAAATGACTGTAATTCTGTACTGCACCGCACTGAACCGTGCTGAAAATTTCGGTTTGTACTCCTGTAAGGAATAGGAAATTTTGGAAACCAATAGTAGTATTTAATTGGATCTTAAAAGGAAAATACGTAGTGTGTATTGGATTCTACTGGCTCAGGATATAGTTCATTGGTAGGGTCGTCTCAATATGGAAATTAAATTCTGTATTTCATAAAAAGAGGAAGAAATTAAGCGGAAGAATAATTCAGTTTCTTTATGATTAAGTTCAATGTAGTCAGTTATAATCAGCATCACAAATTGTAATTTACTTACAGGATCTTCTGTGTCTTAAGGTACATACAATTTGTAAATTATTAATTGAATATACTCGTAAAGTGCAAAGAAATATGTGAAGAAGTTGTTGGGGTGTAATTCCAGGTACTGTGCCCATGTGCTTGGCGAAACTGAGGAAAACTACGGAAACAGACTCGCTGGTTTCCGAATCCAGGTTTGAAACCGTAATCTCCCAGATAAAGTTGTGCTAATAATCTGATCGTGAGGTTCTTGCGTATAGGTGGTCAATAAATCTATTCACCAATCCGAACCCCGCACATAGTCACCAGTACGCGTGACAATATGTCACTGAAAATAACTAAATGAAAAACAAAACACAAAAACATATAATCATTAATGATAACGCATTACCTTTGGTGGTATAAATTAACACATGTTCAATAAGTGAACCAAGTGATCCGGACAGATATACGAAGTGTTTTCATAGCGGAAAACATGTTTCGACATATATTTTCCTTCTTCACGTCTTCAGTTTTTAGAACATAGAAGTTAATTTATCGTTGTGCTTACTTAAGCACTGTACCAGGGAAGCGTATGAGGTAGCGAGGTATAGCTCTACCAGCCTTGACCTCAGGACCAGATGGGGCTGACTGGTCAACTTCACGTCCCGACCACTTTAATAGGGGAAGGGGGAGGAGTCTCCGGTATCCATTGGATATTATAACATATGTGTAAAACTTGCACTAGGAGACATGCTTCTATGTATGTATGCATATCTTAACATAAAGTTTGTGCGTGTGTTCAGGTACGTAATTTACCCGGTCAGGGTAGTCAGGCGGTTTGAGGCAGGTACTCTCTTCGCTCGCTCGGAAGCCGGAATCGTAGGTTCGAATCCCACTGAAGGCATGGATGTTTGATGTGTCTATATGTTTTTCTGTTTGTCTTTTCTTGTGTAGATGCCTTTCGACGAGCTGATAACCCGTCCAAGGGGTCTTACCGTCCGTAAAACGATCAAGAAACTGAGAAATCAGCCCTGTACTCCAAAGTTGGAGCGAGAGGAGAAATGAAATTATTATTAATTATTCAGGAAATTTAGCCACTGAAGACGACAAATATACCCAGAAATACGTTCTCCAACTTGTAAAATTTTAAAGTGAAAACATGCAGCATTACGTTAAACTCTAAAATTATTTTTTTAATTCGTTTAGCGGGGGGTGGAGTGCAACTGGGCCCACTCGGCACAGCGGCCATTAATTGGCCTATTGTAGCCTACCCCGGGTGATTATGACGACGGAGAATTTGGTGTAATGAAGATTAGCAAGGGAAACCGAAGTACTCGGAGAAAAGCCGCCCCAGCGCCACTTTGTCCACCACAAATCCCACTTGACCAGGCCCGAGATCGAACCCGGGCCGCCGCGGTGGGAAGCCAGCGACTAACCGCTTGAGCTATGGCGCGGCCACGTAAAAATCTATGTAGTACCTCTACTGAACTCAGTTATGATCCTGAAGTTTTCTACAAACCGATACTTGAACAAGAATTGATTCATGACCTGTGTCACCGCCTAATTCTGGTACGCATATTCCAACAAACCGATCCATTTCGTCTTTAATCAATATTTCAGGGCATTCAGCACTGGTGGTTTCACGCAACACACACAGACACACACTAGCCTGTTCATCTCCAGTTCCGAAGGACTCGCACTCTGCCTAGTTCCTCCGGCCGATACAGACGGGAAGCGGCGCAGACACTTCTGCGCAACCAATATTTACATTTGAGATACAGAAATTTGTAGTAGTTGCAGTTAGTAAATAGATATATGGAGGACATCAACAGTGAAATCAAAACAGATTTCGCAAGTGATACGAAATTATTTGAGGGTCGCTTTAAGACACTACTTCGTTTATTGCGACTGGGAGGAATTTCAATTAATATGAAGTCAATTACAGTACTTAACAGCATGTATAACGCAACCATTAGCGTGTGCTTTTATATTACCGTTATGTGTCACTTTATGGATACGTTTGCTCATAGACATCAGCTGGTAGAAGCCATGAAGAAAATCCGTGTATTAGTGGCATTGCAAATTTGTATGTGGATCCATCTGAGTATCAGGTAGGCCGTAATATATTCCCTCAAATTTCATAAAAATTTTATAAAATGTAATAATCATTTGTAGAATAATAACATTTCTAAGAATAATCACAACTCCGTAATTTAAGGAGTGTATAACGCAAACTTTTAAAGCGATTTATCAGAGAATATTTCATTTTCATTTTTGTATAATTCTAATTTTTGTTTTAATGTTTAGTCTTTAATATTAAATTTTATATAAGTGTTTTAAATTTTAACTGAAAGATTCAATTTTGCATTTTAAAACTCTCAAGGATCCTTAGTGAAGTATTAGATGAAAATAGATGCAATTCAACAACTGTGACTGGTATCATTGTACGCCTGATGATGACCCAGTATAATGGTTGAAACATGTAGCGCCAATAAAAACAAATATTAATACAATAGTGTTTACTTTGTTTTTAAATACAGAATATTATTATGTAGACTGCCATACTTTTATACATATTATATACCCTATTTTGCATGCAACAATACAGTAAGTCAAAATTAGGAGAAGGCTGTAAAATGTGACAAGCGAAGAGAATAAATTCTGCACTGAAAAAATACCTTCAAAGCAAGACCTAATAAATTCTTCTTCATATAAAACAAAGACCCTGTACTTATCCTTAATGAAATAAATATATCTACAAATAACGTGTAATAAATATTGGAGATAAATATGACACGTGTAGGGGATACTAGTGACGATACTTTTTGTGGCAATACCTGCCACACGATCCAGTTCAGTAAACACTACAAATTAATGTTACTGCAATATGAGTGTTTATTCCCGTTACAGCTATCGTAAACGTGACTTCGAACACCTGCTTAGCCTGACGGATTCCTTCACCTGGGAAGAACTGCCGACCATAGATCCCAACACTGGATACGTAACAAGGGCTGGGTACATTCCCATAATCCAGAAACTTACCAAAATTTTACCGACCTTCATACTTGGATTCCACATTATCCAGAGTACTTTCAGGGTGGTGCTGTATCATGACATGGTATTAACGTCGTGGTATCCATTCGACACATCAGAGAGTCCAGTGTATGAAATTGTGAATCTGACACAGGTAAGTAAGATCTAAAAGTGTGTGACGATAGTACATTAATACAAGTATTATATTTTTGGACATCATCTATCGTGTTGTCTTTATCTGAAAACCGTCCTGTTTATTTTTCAAAACACAACGTTTCGGAGACAGGATTCTGTCTCCGGAGATAGGGATTAGTTCTATAAATTGGGCCCAACTGAGTAGCTTTTACTCGTACCTGAAGACGGAGACAGACGCCAACGTTTTGAAAAAAATAAACAGGACTATTTTTTAGATAAATATAAGACGATGGATAATGTCCCAAAACACAATATTTGTATTACTGAGAGAGGTAAGGTTCGGTTTCTTACAATCATTGAAATTAATTTGTCTGAACTGCAGAGAATTATTCAGTCACCTTTAATTTTTCAAATGATCGTATTTCAGAAAATTATATTTAATCTGTGTGACGCTCAAACTGTTTTCTGCATTTGCCATTCTTAATAGCCATTTACAATATGTGTGGCGACTTCATGGAACGTGTGATTTCTATTGCATTTTATCGAATTCCTTCCCTTATTCAGTTTAAAACGAAAGCAAACGTTTAACCGCCACATTAATATTGCATGTTTTAATATATTAGAAATTTGGAATTATTTCAATAAAAATATTTTTATTTAACTGATGTAAAGCTACAATATACAGTGCAAGTGGGACATCTTAACAGCTAAAACAAATGAATATTCTCTTAGACCAGTGCAGTTACAGTACATAAATGTTCCGGTTATTGAATAAGAGTGTGGTTATTCAAATAATTTTGGCACATCATTTTCAATATTATGTTAACAAAAATATATCTTAACGTATGTTTGCGCATTTACATGACGAAAATCAGACTTACACAAATTGTATTAGAAACTCCTCACGGAAGAACACAATTTCTCCGCCATTTTAGCAGCAATCTTCACGCTAACTCTTTGTGACTGTACAAGGTGCTGGAGTGTCTCGTTCGAAACGATGAGTTCAGTACCTTTAATGAAATAATCTGGAGGTGGAGATTCATAAATAAAATTCCATATCTTATGAGTATGATCTAGTCATATCGTAATGGAAAAGCTGGTCTTATTCGTCAAACCTAAAGAGCGAGTCTAACAGTAAAACACAAAAACACTCCGATAACATAACCCGTATTCATGAATAATATGAAATTTAACTCAGCTGTAACCCTTTACTTAGTTACATGCAACAGTACTTTGTTACGAGTTACAATAATGTGCGGCAGAATTTATGCTCTGTGTAGTTCGGAAAGAGTTATCCGTTTCGGAGGGATATATCGCTTCCACCTAGAGGGCCCAAGAATAAGCCAAGGAAGAAACTTGAAGAAGGAGCCAGCAATCGAAAATTATCAGCTCCTCAGCTTCATCTGAGAAATTAAATTAGTCAAAGGCAAATTTTTGTTGATATACATTCAGAATTTTTCTCTTGGAACCATCCTGTTATCATATTTTGAATACTGAAAGTTTCACATGAAACTTTCAATGGAATGATGTTCGAAAAACGAAGAAAGCGAAGTGAGATGTTTAATTATTTATGAACTAAAACTAAATTTACAGATATTGCTGTATAACAAGTTCTTATACGCATTCCATTATTTGAAATTTTAACTTTAAATATTTCTTGCGAAAATTTAAAAAGCAAATACTTTAATTATAAATACTGTATAAGAACATTTCTGTCGTTTATGACTTCAATGTTAAAGTAAAATGTGATAACGTTTAAAGAATGAGAATTTAATTAAATTTTAATACCAACTGATGTTTGTTGGGAAAGCCGTAAAGTGAAATAATTTCTAAAACTTAATTTCACAGATAAAATAACTCATTTATTTTATGCGTTTCCGTAATACTGACAAACATTACATTAATTCAGAAAAATAAATTTTCCTTCGTCCGTAGGTCATAGCATCAATCATCCCAATTTGCATGTTTTTCGGCTTCCAAAGCCTGTACGCCACGTTGACGTGTGTAGCCTGCAGTCAGCTGGAGAAGCTCAGAGCGGCCCTCCTGGATATCAGACAGACACACGTCACAGCAGAGCGGGACTGTGGGGCACAGGCTGACCTACTGGAGGCACATGGACAGGCTCGTGCCTCAGAGGAACTGTTCCGCCACATGCAGAAACAACTGAACAACTGCATACGTCACCATCAGGAGATAAAACGGTCTTGTAATTCAATACACTTCATGTTATTATTGTTAATGAGAGAAACATGAATGTTGATAATTTATCTTATTATTTTCCAGATATGTGAAAGAAATGGAGGACACAGTGAATATACCAAACTGTGGATTATTTCTAATATTGCTATCAGGGATGTGTTTTGGGGCCATGTCCGCAATCACGGTAAAGTATATCTTTATTCTATTATTATATTTAAGCATCCAATTGCACTCTATACGATAAATGATATAAACTCCGTCCCAAGCGTAAACAATATATTATGTGTCCTTGATCTTGTTCATCCACACTACATGTTTCGGCCACAGACGGCCATCATCAGGTGTATAACACTCACGTCGCTGTTATTCTTTACTACGTGTGCTCAGCGGCACGCACATAGGAAGACTACACAGGATAACACCTATACAGTGTGGGAACAAGAACTAGCCGCTACAGCACTTTAGACATAGGGCGAGTAACCCTAATAATTTTAAATTTGGAATTTGGAGAAAAACATTTTAAAGGATTTTAAAATTAGAACTAAAGGTTTTATAGTGCTGCTATAGGTACGTCAGAATTAACGTGTGTAAAGTGATCTACATCCAGACAGATATCAACGAAGTAGATGTTGATAATAACAAGGAAAAGGTTTTAAATGTTAAATTTCGGACTGAGTGCAGTGTGACAGCGACGTGAGTGTTATACACCTGATGATGGCCGTCTGTGGCCGAAATATGTAGTGTGGGTGAACAAGATCAAGGACACATAATATATTGTTTGCACTTGGGACGGAGTTTATATCATTATATCATTTATCATATCTTTATTCATTCATACGACAGTGACTAGAACTGTGCAGAATAATATAGATTTCAATATCTCACCATGTATCTCTCAAAGTTAATCTAGAATTTTCTGTGAGCTCTAGAATTAAACGGCGGGAACATTGAATAGTATCTGTATTAGTACAGTTCTCTAAACTTCCACTATACAAGTATCACTACAGCAGACAGTACGTCACCAATTATCTCCTGTCCTTCCATAAGCCTTAAAGTTTTTGTCGTCATAAAGTGAATAATTATGTTTCGCTTGTTTCTAATGTTACAATGAAATGAACAAGAATTTTATAGATTGTATAACAAAGCGAGTCTTTAAAAATATGTTTTCATTTCTTGTCTTATATTAAAGACAATTCTGAGGATATTACAGTTAGTTTCATGAAGATTTTCATCTTAGCTGTGGTTATTTTTATCTTTGTGCTTTCTGTCCAGTCCACGTCGCAGTGTCAATATTACCATCTTCTTTGTCGAATAAGTGTCAGTGTTAGTTTTCTTGACAAAAATCAGTACATTTCATCAGCGTAAAAATGGTGGTACTTAGGTAAAACAGTAGGCCTAAAAAAATTATGCCGTGTGAATTGTGACATATAAATCGGAGAGAGCTTGTCGCCTGCTTCTGACGGTTTCTTGCTAAAATTATTAACAGAATCTGATAATGGAAGCGACATATTTATCCGAAACGTTGGGGTTCCATTGGAATTTTATAAGGCAGAACTTATGAATATGAGTACCAGTTGCACTATACTTGGATGTATATATATATATATTTATTGATAGTGGGGTGGGAGTAAGTCCCTTGTAGTGCGGCCACTTCTGGCCTACTGTGCCAGCCCCAGATGATAGGTGAGGGTGAGCAGTTGGTGGAATGAAGATTGGCAGGGGAAACCGAAGTACTCGGAGAAAACCTGCCCCAGCGCACCTTCGTCCACCACAAATCCCACTTGACCAGACCCGTGATCGAATCCGGGCCTCCGCGGTGGGAAGCCAGCGACTATCTGCTTGAGCTACGGCGCGGCCCTTGGATTTATACAAATGTTTCATTTCGTAGAGCTGGGGAGATCACGCGGATGTTTCCCAGGCTTTCGCTGTATACATCTTCATGACGGGTTCTGTGTGTGTGTATTGCTGGCTTGGAAACGAGATCACATATCAGGTATGAAATAACAAAATATTATCTCAGATTTTGACTTCAGGTGCTCAGTGTTATTTTTCAATATGTACAGTATACATGACTTTAAGTTAAAATAATATAATCAATTTATTATATTACAGATATAATGCAATTGTCTCCTCTATACAATACTGTAATTGAAGAACCTGTTCTACCGAATTAACATAATTGCATGCATATATTCCTGTTTACATATCTGTTATACTGTCATTTGATTCTGTGACTAAAACGTGGGTTTGTATTGACAACTGGATTTGTTAACCGGTTATAGGTGGTAACTACAATTACTGGTAACAGAATCTTACTACAACCATAACATTTCGTAGTGCGAACAATGATAGCACATGAAGTAAAATCTTCAGTTACTGAACTACCTTGAACGACGTCTCCCTGAAGAAAATAATATCGAACAGTTTCACTACTTTCTATATAGGCTCGGCACGGACCACGCAGAAAACCCCGTACTTCTATTTTTATGTCCGCCTATGTTGCGGGACGTTACCTATCAACGGCCGCTATTTACAGATTCACTGTTTAGCAACGGGTCTATACGCCACACTATTAACTACATTCCCATAGCTGAGCGTTGTAGATAATTGGCACTGCGAAAGACGTCTTCAAATTTTGTCATGTCTGTGGGTACGAGTGAACCGCCTCTGTGGTCTAGTGGTCAGAGTTCTTCGCTACAGACCAGAGATACCGGGTTCGTTTCTCGGTGTTACCAGTTTTTCTAAGAACTAGTGGATCTGGAACGAGGTCCACTCTGCCTCGTGAGGATAACTGAGGAGCTATTTCAAGGAACTAGCGGCTCCGGTCTAGAAAACCGTTATCCGTTGCACTGACTACGTGACACCGTCTATCCGCAAAAAGTTGGCAATAACACGATCGGTCGGTATAGTTCGCTTGCGGACTACAGACCACGGAGTATTGTGGGTACGAGTATATGAGTATTCCTGCATGGTAAAGGTCCTCATTCGGAAATTACTTGTAATAATTTGTTGTGATGATTCCCATCCTACTCCACCTCTGCAGTAGTGAAAAATGTATTCTCCGAACTCCGGAAATTAAAGTGCTTATAGAGTGGAGGGCAACGACATAAAGAAAATTATAAATTGTTTTACTTTTGCTAAAATCCGTCTTTTCACACAAAAAAATTCAATAATTTCTCAAATATTTCAGGCTGAAAGCGTGAGAGACGCTGCGTGGGGGTGCGACTGGGTGGGAACCCCTGTCCCGTTTCAGCGCTGTTTGGCCTTCATCATCGCCACAGCCAACAAGGAGTTCACACTCACAGCCGGGAAATTTGTTCCGGTGTCAAACAAGACAATGATTAATGTAAGTACATTTTTTCGTTTATGTCATAAAACAAGAGGACACTTCAGTACTGAATCACATGTCCCTTTCTACGTCATCATATTAAACACTATATTTCCAATTTCCATGCCTGCACCAGAGATATCGAATTTCTCCGTGAGATATCTTATGAGACAAATCAGCCGGATATTCTTCTTGCAATTGCGACAGTAAATTTCCCTTCATGTTGTCGATTAATAGACCCCCTCTGTGGTCTAGTGGTCAGAGTTTCTGGCTACAGATCTAGAGTTCCCGAGTCGATTCCCGGTGCTACCACTTTTTCTGAGAACTAGTGAGTCTGGAACGGGTTCCACTCAGCCTCATGAGGATAATTGAAGAGTGATTTTAAGGGAATAGCGGCTCAGGTCTAAGAAAACCGAAATTAACGGCCGTGAGGATCCGTTGCGCTGACTACGCGACACCCTCTATCCTCAAAAGTTGGCACTAACTTCGCCAACAAGCTGTGGTTGCTCGGTCGGTATAGTTCGCTTGCGGACTACAAGCCACGGAATTTTCTCAAAAGAAATTTCGTTAACAATATACTGTTATATTTTTGGATTGTGAAATATGATTGACGGTGGGTGAAGCATGCGAGTAATGACAGATTGTTCAATATCGTTTTGGATTACACAAGGAATCTCATGCGATTATGGGAAGAAATATACAGCTACTCTCCTAAAGCAAATATGGCATGGCAGCGCTGAAATGCACTATTTCGGCTCAGCATGAAGTTCGCGTGAAGGAATCCCAGTAACAAAGTGATGAAGGCAGGAGAACCGTATTCCATCTGAATAGATATCAGCTTCTCAAACACGAGTCCAATATAAGAATTTCTGTAATACAGTTAGGATTTGATAATTTATTCATTTGGGGGTACGCGGTAGCGTGGTTGGTTGAGGTACTATGCTACAAGTCTGAAGGTCGCGGCTTCGAGTTCCGATGAGGTGGATTTTTTTTTTCCAATTTACCTAATCCTTCCAGCCGCACTACGGCCCTGGGGTCGACTCAGCCTCTAACACAAATGAGTACCAGGAATCTTCCTGCAAGGTAAAGGGCGGCCGGCGCATAACGCTGATAACCTTACCGCCATCTGTGAGCCGATTGTCTAGAAAATGTGGGAACCTCGACGTCTTAAACGCTATGGGCCTCCACGGCCTGTTACAGGGATAGCTTCACCCTTTTTATCATCTCTTATGTTTCAATTGCTTTAGGACACTTTCAACTGGCAAATATTATCCGTGTTGGGATAGTAATTTTTAATGGCTGGCATTTCCTTCTGTCCGCAGATGTTGAACCAATCACTGTCGGTCTTCATGTTTCTACTTCAAATGAAAGACAAGAATGCAGACACAAATCAGGAAGTATAACATTACCGACCCATAATGCAACGTAGTAAATATTAGTATAATTCTATGTAGTTCTCATTCAATTCTAATAAATTTCTTGTGAAAAATATTATCTTCCGCGTTATAACGGCGTGTAGTCTGTTGAAAGTCAATTGACGTTTCGGAGTTACATACAAGTATAGAGCATGCAGTTGTTGCTTATTTTTAGATCCCGAAGATGAAAACATATTTCTTCTAAACATCGTTTTATTTTTAACAGATTATACGGCGTTATATCTCAAAAGATACAGTTTCTTTGTGTGCGACTGTTTCCAGTGAAGGTAAATGTGTATGTTAACCGTTGCTTAGCACCTTCCTAATTAATCCAAATCCAAGACAAAGCGAAATATTGCAGTTTGTGATTTGTTAGCTTCACGCCCAAACCCGCACTTGATGGGCCACCCCTTTTCAGCTGTCCATGACCGTCTACGCAAAGCTACCATCAGTATCTGTAGATCGCCTACTCCTTCCGCAGTCCGAGGATGTCTTCGCTCGCTCGGAAGCTGGGATCGTGGGTTCGGATCTGTTTCCTGTGAGGTACGAACTGAATTCTTATATATTATTCTTATACACTGCCGGTCACGGTAGCTGAGAAGGCTAAGGCATGCACTGTCTTCGCTCTCTCGGAAGCCGGGAACGTGAGTTCGGATCCCACACAAAGCATGTATATTTGGTGTGTGTATGCGTTCATGGTGTGTTTAGGTAGAGGTCTTTTTTTATTGCTACTGGGGTGAGACTGAGTCCCTTGTACTGAGGCCACTTCTGGCCTATTGTACCAGCCCCAGATGATAGGTGAGGGTGATTGTGGAGCAACTGGTGGAATGGAGATTGGCAGGGGAAACCGAAGTACTCGGAGAAAACCTACCTCAGGGCCACTTTTTCCACCACAAATCCCACTTGACCAGACCCGGGATCGAACCTGGGCCGCCACGGTTGGAAGCCAGAGACTTACCGCTTGAGTTATGGCGCGGACGAGGTAGAGGCCTTGCGACGAGCTGATCGCCCGTCCAAGGGGTCCTACGCTCTGGAAAAATGAACAGGAAACTGAGAAATCAGCCCGATTCTCCAAAATGGGAGCAAGATGACGAAGATAATATCACTTTAAATATAATTTCAAATTCATTAAAATATCTTAAAATGGTAACTAATGATACTTTAAGGCATTTTAATAAAATTTAAACGTAATTATAAGTGACGCATAAAGTAAAATTTGTGTTTGTATTTAGAGACTGAATTGAGGGAGTGGGGTTTATATTTCAGATACAAACAAAAATTAGCTTAGGCTAAAATTCACAGTGCAAACGCCTAACACCACGTTTCACAACAGTTCTTTCAGTCGTGTCAGAAATCGACAAAATTCATAACTGTGTACTACTCTCAAGCAGAGATTGGCCAACATGAGAGAGACTAACATAGGCCGATAAAGGCCGCTCCATAGTTCAAGCGGTTAGTCGCTGGCTTCCCACCGTGGAGGCCCGGCTTCGATCCCGGGGTTTGGTCAAGAGGGATTTGTGGTGAACAAAGTGGCGCTGGGATAGGTTTTCTCCGAGTACATCGGAGATACACAGCTTGAGCTATGGCACGGCCATCCCAGGGTCATAGAACGACTAAAAGGGTTGGGTAAATTTTGAAAAATCTAATTATCTCATCGGGAATCAAGCCCGCGAAATTCCGGCTTGCAGCATAATGTCTCAACCAACTACGCTACTGAGTGAATCTTGGCACAATGAGGAGATAAAACACTAAGAGGAAAATAAATAATCATGGAACCTAAATTTATGGTACCCTTTCGAATAAGAGAAACAAGAATTGCGCTACAATATTCTTCTGCTTTTACAGAGCTATGGGTCCTTTGTAAATGAATATTCCACTTTGTGGGGTACTTCTGAGTTTGCCGGCAGTAATGTGTCTTGTCATGTTCTCAGCCATCTTGGTAAAGTAGTATCCTAAAATTCCACGTTTGTATGACACTTGTAGCCCCATTATTTCGAGGTCTATGTCTGGGGATCTCTTTCGCATAATTTCTTGATATAACTTGCGTCTCTCAATAAAATACAAAACTTTACCAGACATCAATAACATTCTCAACATTAAAATAATAATGTGACACGACGCCTGATAGCCTGAATAGTGGAGCTAGAAGATAAGTCTACTGCTAAGCAACGGCTCGGTAAAGATGTTTCCGCGGCAATGAATAAGCAAGCAACAATAAAGGAATTGTTGGAAATGGTATTTTCTGTTGGCCCCCCATCCGAGGCTCTATAACGAGGCTCCCAGGCCATCTGACCTGCATCTAGGCCATTCTAGTGGTCTTTTTCTTCCTGTTTTTTCCGCCAACATCCAATAGGTATTCCTCTTCCCCTTCGTGTTACATTCCCATGTTATCCTCCTTGATTAGCTCATTTTAATTATAATTGGCTTAATAAGCGTAACACAATATAACATAGCTATATGGAACTCATATAAGAAGTATGTTCTATTTTATTATGGGATTGCTAGTGGGGTGGGACTAAGTCCCTTGTACTGCGGCCACTTCTGGCCTATTGTACCATTATTATTATTATGAATACTGAACACAAAGCTTGCTGTTTCGAGCAGAAGAGTAATCATACACATTGTCAGAATACAACAATAAACATACATAACATTATTTCAAGTCCACTAATATAAACTTCAAAGTTTCCGCCTTATTATGATCATGATTATATTACTTAATGAAACTGAACTGTACAAGTTGTACATCAAGTACCAACTTTCCATTCATGTGTCGATGTTAAAGTTCTCTATATTACAAATTAATTTATATCTTCAATAACAGAGTTACTTAAAGTTTCTTGAAGTTTGTTTCCAAGTGCTCGCCTTTCCAATGGAATTGATCTGTAGTCCGCCCTCTGCGCCTCCGCCCCAGTTTAATATGCAAACTACTAAGGACACAGACGAATTTCGTGACTCGTCGAAATGTTATTAGAAGGGGTAGTTTCCATTGCGTTCACACCATCTTGAAATTCCGCGCACCAAAGCGTTCAGTCAGTATCGGTTTATATTCACTGTCTGCCGGGTCACATACTTGCAGGAACACTCAGCTACATATGTTATACAGAACCTCTGATACAAGTGACACGGATATATACACAGATTATATCAACAAAACCATGACTGATACTGTATCTGACAACATAATTGTCAAGAATCGTTTCAAAACTTTTCTTTTCTTATTCCGCTTTGCAGGATTTGAAATTAACATGAAGTCTACATCAAGATTTACCACTGTATATAACGCAATTGTTATCTTGTGCGTTTACATCACTTCGATATGCCTTTTGATGGATTGCTTTGTTCACAGACATGAGTTGAAAATCTTCATGAAGAAGTTTCGACTACTGATGGGAACATTGCTTCATGTATGGATGTACACGAGTCTCAGGTATGCCCCACCATAATCAGTACCAATAAAATAAAAACTGTGTTATTGTAGAAGACTGCAGTGGGCTGTGATCAATTGAAAAACTGAACTCTAAGCTCGAGGGATGTAATAAACGGAAAATATAATCAATAACTCCTAGGATATATATTGACCATAACACATATACGTGGTAGTCATTAAGTTCGTGGAATGTGGTTTTATCGCATCATATTACAAGGTGTTCACATACACTCACGCAGATCCACATCGGCCCTAAAAATAGTTGCCGTTGGCCGCGATGCAAGTCTGCCAATGTTTATATAGCTGCCAAAAACATTGCCGGAACATATTTGGATTAAGTTCTCGTACGACGCTTTGTGTTCATTCCACGAATTTATTGACTGTGGTGTTATATAAAACAGCAAGCGTGGTTCTATAACCAAAATATCTATGTAAGATTTGAGGTTTTCACGGCGGTCACTATGAAGAATGCTGTCTTCTGTAATGTGGTGTCATGTAGATCATGTGCTGACGTTTCGGAGGAAAATATCGCCTCTATCTTCAGAGTATAAAAATCCGTGAGCGAGGAACCAGAAAGAGGTGATTGCACATGCCACCCCACATCCTCACTCTCGTTCCTCGCTAGCGGATTTTTTTATATCCTGAAGATAGAGGCGATATGTTCCCCCGAAAAGTCGGTTAACACAATATCTGCACGGTGCCACATCCCAGAAGACGGCATTCAAAATATCTGTCATTGAACGAAAGAAAGTTTCCCGTTACAGGTATCGTAAACGTGAAGTTCAAAATCTGCTCAACCTCACGAATTCTTTCATCTGGGAAGACCTGCCGACGAGAGATCCAGACAGTGGGAACTTAACAACGACGGGGTACATGCCGATCATCGAAAGACTCACCATATACGTATCGACGGGTGCGTTTCTATTCCACGGAGTGCAGAGTAGTGCCCGAATTGTGCTGAACCACGATATGGTTCTCACCACGTGGTACCCTTTCGACGCAACAGTGAGCCCAGTGTATGAAATCGCAAATTTAACACAGGTAATGTTATAAAGTTTTTATCTAAGAACTACAATTTGTTTCGAACTTTATGCAACAGAAAACATTCCAAGGAAACTGTGATCCGAATTCTACCATATTAGGGGCAGAAAAATTCCTTATAGCACCTACTATTTCTTTTATGAAAGATGCATTTCAGGAAATTAATTTAATTCTGTGTTCCGTGAACGGTTCAATGTCTGGTCAATGTCAACCTGGTACCCACCTACGAAAGCTACACAGGCGGCAACAGACCCTTCGAAATATGTCATTCAAATTTTATATGCATGCAATATCTTCCCATATTTGTGGAAAACAAATTCTTCCGGAAAATAACATAATTTGTTATCCAAAATAGGGAATTGCATCAATCTTCCATATTGCCATAAATGCTGCCTTCACAAGCCTGTACGCCACGTTAGTGTGTGTAGCCTGCAGTCAGCTGGAGAAGCTCAGAGCGGCCCTCCTGGATATCGGACAGACACACGTCACAGCAGAGCGGGATAGTGGGACACAGGCTGACCTACTGGAGGCACAAGGACAGGCTCGTGCCTCAGAGGAACTGTTCCGTCACATGCAGAAACAACTGAACAACTGTATACGTCATCACCAGGAAATTAAACGGTATGATCATACCAAATAATTATCCAGTTTAAATTGACATTACTAGCACGCGGTAACGTAGTTGATTGAGACACTATGCTACAAGGGGAAACGTTGCGGGTTTGAATCCCAATGAGGTGGATTTTTTTTCCAGTTTACCTAATCTTTCCAGCCGCAGTATGATCCTGGGGTACATTCAGACTCTAATAGATGTGAGTACCAGGAATTTTCTGGGGGGGGGGAGGTAAAGGGCGACCGACGAGTAAGGCTGACAACCTTACAATCATCTCTGAAACGACTGTCTAGACAAAATGTGGGAGCTCCGACGTCTGACAACCGTATGGTCCTTCACGGCCTGTTACAGGAATAACTTTACTTTTAAATTGATATTACTATTTCAAAATTGACAAAAAGAAAAGGAAGTTTCTGTAAAACCTTAACCTTTTCAGGTATATGGACACATTGGAAAACGTGATGAATCTTCCACTTTGCGGAGTGTTGCTCATTTTGCTAACAGTGCTGTGTTTTGTCGCCTTCTCTGCCGTCACGGTAAAGTATTCCCTTAAACCATAATTGCAAAGAGCAATAGTGCCCGCATGTGCTCCGCACAGTTTCTGCTGACTCGTTCTCATAATGCGTTAATATCATTAACAGACTTGACATTATGAGAGTGATATACGTTCTCTTGGATTTGGATTATTTTTAAGACTTAGTATGAGGTTTATAATCCAAAGAAGGGCTTAATGGGTTATCTTGAGCAGAAATTAATTATGACTATCGGTTACGTTATAACATCACCTAATGGACTGACTTAGAGAGATGAAGTGACAGGAGGTTGGAGAAAACTGCATAATGAGGAGCCTCATAACTTGTACTCTTCTCTAAGTATAATTAGAATGATCTAACCAAGGAGGATGAGATGGACAGGACATAAAGCACGAATTGGGAGAGATGGAAAGTATGTAAGGTATTGGTGGGAAAGCCGGAAGGAAAGAGGCTATTGGGAAAACCAAGACGTAGGTGGGTGGAATTTATTAAAATGTTTCTTAGAGAGATGGGATGAGATGGATTGGATTGATCTGATTGAGGATAGGTACAAGTGGAGGGCTCTTGTGAACTCGGTAATGAACCTTCGGGTTCCATAAAATACTGGGAAGTTCTTGAGTAGCTGCTGAGCCGTGTCCCTCGACCCTGTGGATAAAGAAACCCGTTCTTCTACCCACTTTGACCCGTGAATCCTTACTCTATATGGGTAATGGACAGGCTCACAAGAAACGACTTGCTTGTAGCGTGATGCACTATGCCTCCCTAGGATTGTGTGAGGGATCTCGGGGGAGGAAAACCACAGTCGGTACGACAGGCCAGGCTGGACGGATCCGCTAGGCAGAAGCTGGTATGGAACATACGGCACAAGTATACATATACAAAACTGGCGTTCTCAAACATAAATAAATATATATTTATAACATATGTATACAAATGGACTCCGCCTGAAGGGCAGTGGCCGGTCAGAACATGTGATAAATGATTGATACAGAACTACGCTGTGCCCAACAGCACAGAAACTCAAGTCAGCCACGCCTCATGGCGTATTTCTACTTCTCCAGTACAAGCATGTACTTATGCAAGCCTTGAGGGCACAAGGAAATATAAACAGCTTACACACACAGCTGAACACGCCTGAAGGGCGATCTGCTGTTTATCACAACCTAGACAAACCAAAATTAACCTACGCCACACGGCGTCAGTAATCAAACCAAAATGCGCCTCACGGAATATATTACCTTAGTAAGTCACTTACTACAAAAAATTCTTGAATATGCAAACTCAAAGATTTACCTCACGACTGATCCACCCTTGACCATGCCGTGAGGACACTCTTCGCCCTTCGATCAGTGCTGCGGGCCGAAACCAAATTTCTAACACAATCAATTCAACTTTCCGAAACCAAATTTAGACGCAGCGATGTTTCCAGGCGAAGGTCAACGGGAAGAGAGTAAGATTAGCTTCACTCGAGCTAAGCAAGAAACCTCTGTCTAGGTCCAGGATGGGGGAGACAAGGTCAGCTGACCTGACGTCAGTCAAAGACGTTAACTGGAAAGAAAGGGAACGGTTCGCATCCTGGCGTTTCGGAGGGGGGGGACTCCAAAGAACTTAACGAAGACGAACCATTGCACGGTTCTCTGCCCAACTGGCGGCTTCTCAAGTACGGCTCAGCTCCATGACTGAGTAAATGGAGTTGCTTAGACAATACAATACGTGGATTTCTTTTTATGTCTCGTTTTGTAGAAAAGGAAATAATTTCACGTCGTAGAGATAAGCCAACATTCATTATGGATCCTATATTCTATTGGGTGATAAGCTTCCTCTGACAAACTTCTAAATATTCTGAATGAAATCCGAGGACCTCTGTTCGCCGTAGAGTAACACGAAACGGATATTTCATTTGGCAGAGCTGGGGAGATCACGCAGATTCATCGCAGGCTCTAGCCATTTATGTGATGATGCTAATCTCGGTGTATGCCCACTGCTGGATTGCAAGCGAACTGTCCGAACTGGTAAGAATGTCTGGATTACTTCATCAAGTCAGAGCTCTCCATATTATTATAAACGTAAGGTAGTCTAATTATTGCATAAGACCCAAAGTGCAACTTGTCTCCCTTCTTCTCTAAAACTGATACTGCATGCTTTGCCGAACTATTTATATCGTATTTGCTCATCTACATAGTTTAAAATACATAATATATATTTTACCTACAGCGCTTTTTAGGGGGCATGAGGTAGCACTACGCTACAAGCCGGAAGGTCCCGGGATCGAATCCCGATGAGGTGGATTTTTTTTTTCAATTTACCTAATCCTTCCAGCCGCACTATGGCCCTGAGGTCGATTCAGCCTCTAACAGAAATGAGTACCAGGAATATTCCTGGGGGTAAAGGCGGCCAGCGCGTATGATTGACAACCGCACAGCCATCTGTGAGCCGACTGTCTAGAGAAAATATAGGCGCCTCGGCCTCTGACAACCCTATAGACATTCACGGCCTGTTACAGGGATAACTTTACCTCTTACTTTTACATTTTTTTAAAAGTATTATAACGAAATTCTGTGAATCATACTTTCGCTTACTCAGCAGTCATTCTAGGTAATTGCAATCCTCATCCATTACCATTTTTATTATTATTTTTATTTTATTCGAATATATCAATTTAATATGTTGCCATGATCCTCTGTCCGTAAAACTTTAACTATTTTAATCGAGAACATGTATTCAGTATCGACTTCCAAAGATAAATGACCAACCCTGTATTGTCAATGTGGTGATAATAATATAATGTACCGTGTTGTTATTATCACGATGTATGATGCATCACCATGGTTTAAATTAATTAATTAATTAATCTCAAAATTTTCCGAAATTCTCCAGGCTGAAAGAGTGAGAGACGCTGCCTGGGGGTGCGACTGGGTGGGAACCCCTGTCCCGTTTCAGCGCTGTCTGGCCTTCATCATCGCCACAGCCAACAAGGAGTTCACACTCACAGCCGGGAAATTTGTTCCGGTGTGCAACTCGACCATGATGAATGTAAGCAGAAACACCCATTGTGGGAGGACACACAGTTGGGAAGATAGCAACGTAGATAACGGAAAATGTGAAGAATGCCGTCTTCTAATATGTGACGCCGTGTAGTTACTGTGAAAATCGACGTTTCGGAGGAACGTTTCGCCTCGATCTTCAGGATTCCTTGTTAGCGGATTTTTATACCTTGAAGATGAATGCGATACATTCTTCCGAAACGTCGGTTTACACAATGTCTACACAGAGACATATCTCAGAAGACGGCATTCTTTATAGTCACCGCCGTGAAAACCTCAAAATTTACACAATGGAATCTGCGTTCCCAAACACCTCAAATATGTATTCCTTGGAAGACTGCAATCTTTAGTGAAGGAAACAGTTGCGAACGTTTCCCCGGGAACACTGCCTAGCTCTTCTGGGCAGAACTGGTTCAACTCTGAGCATCAAGCAGTCTGATAGGTTGACCAGACTTCTTACAGAACATGGAGACCATACATTCCTTTCTTTTTCAAACCTATCACAGAGCGTCCCATACCAGAAAGTGACACTCGTAATGACGTCAAAATCTCAAGCAAATGCATTCATTTTTCATCTAAACCTAATTGGTCTAAGGACAGAGCGTATCGATCATCTCTCTCGTGGTAACCAGATGCAAAACTATACTCCCACTTAATGATTAATAGAACTAAACACTAATTAGAATAACAATGTCAAGGAGGAAGAGATAGGCAGGGCATATAGCATGAATGGGGAGAAGAGTAATACATATAGTGTATTGGTGGGAAAGGCAGAGGAAATGAGAATACTGGGAAAACCAAAACGAAGAAGGGTATATAATTTTAAAATAGATCTTAGATAGGTTGTTATGGTATGGACTGAATAGATCTGACCCAGGTTATGGACCAGCGGGGGGCTCTTTTGAGCACGGTAATGAACTTTTGGGTTCCCAGGATTTTATAGAATCCGAAAGTTCATTTTCGGGTTCACAAGAGCCCTCCATTGGCCCTTATCCTCAGAAAGATCAATCCAATCCATACCATTCAATTCTAAGCCTCTAATTTCCATTTTAATATTATTCGCCCACCTACATCTTGGTCTTCCAAGTGGCCTGTTTCCTTCTGATTTTCCCCTCGATATCCTATATGCATACCTCCCTATTCGTGCTACATGCCCTGCCAATCTCAACCTCTTTGACTTGATATAGATATAGACATGCAATATTTAAACCTTTTTAATGTTGCGTGACCATCAGATTGTCAAGTAGGTACCTCATCATTAGAATGGATCTCTAAGATCCATTTTAATATTGTTACACTGCTCGCGGATATTTCATTTTGCTGTTAAATTGAAGAGCTATGAATTTTAAGGGAATTGTTTCTCTCATATATTTTACAGCACCTGTTGCGTCAGTGTTGATGTGCATCTGTTTTCTAATTTTGTTCGCAGATGGTGAGTCAGTCGATATCCATCTTCATGTTCCTTCTGCAGATGAAAGACAGGAACATTGATGCTGATCAGGGAGCATAACCATACCGACCGGTGCGGCAAGCACGATGTTCTTATGAAATGCACAGAATGCAGCTATACCGTGAATTCTTGTATTTTCATACACACACCTGACAATTACAAACCCCAATTTCTCAACTGTGAGGCACGAGGTAGCGTAGTTGGCTGAGGCACTACGCTGCAAGCCGGAAGGTCGCGGCTACAATCTCCGATGTCACTAAATTTTTCAATTGACCTCATCCTTCCAGCCGCACTATGGCCCTGGGGTCCACTAAGCGCCTAACAGAAATGAGTACTAGGAATCTTCCTGGTGGGGGTAAAGGGCGTCCGGCTCGTAAGACTGACCTCACCGCCATCTATCAGCCGATTGTCTAGAAAATGTGCGAACTTCAACGTCTCACAACCCTATGGGCCTTCACGGTGTGTTACAGGGACAGCTTTAACTTTGTACGTGTCTCAATCATATAGTTACTTAGAATTACTGAGTTAGTGTACTTTGTCCATCGTCTAGCATCCAAAAGAATACAAAGATTTCGGAAACTGAATGTGTCTCCGCCCTCAATGGTGGGGGGAAACTCTTCTCTTGGGTTCGTAAGGAAGAAGTAACGTCAATCAATACTTTAGTGATTAATGCTTCAAGTGATGCCTCAACTTCAACATTAAAATGAAAATTCAGACACAATAATAATATATAATATATGATAGGAGATGTTATATACACAGTAATGTAATCACACTGAAATTGTTGACACTTTCATGGTAGAATATGCTTCAGCGCTAATGGTTTTTACTTTGAGCGTCTGAACTACGCACAGTTTAAATTCATTTCCGTATTATAATTTGCATTTCTATGTTTGCTGTTGTAGTTTTCTGCTATTAATGTGCTGTAAATAAAGGATAACGGGATATAAAATATTATAACATAATTTTATAATGGATATAAACTAAGCGATTGTACATATTTGATGTACTTTTGCACTAATAAAAAGTACACCGACTGGGCTTAAAGAAAGTATTCCTTACCTGAAGGGATTTTAAATGCTGTACAAGAAACCGGGAATTTAATTTCTGCGAACAGTTCTAGTATGATCTTGAGGGACTTAGAGAAACTAACAAACTCTCGAATAAAGCCCTAACTTAGTTACTTACTTATGGAGCTAAGCCCTTTTTGAGGGGCCGCCAATTCTGCAGCTACTCAATAATTTCTCAGCATTTTATGGAACCCGAAAGTTCATTACCGTGTTCACAAGAGCCCTACACTAGTCCCTATCCTAAGCCAGAGCAATCCAATCAATACCATCCTATTTTATCTTTCTAAGATCAATTTTAATATTGTACACCCACCTACAACTCGGTCTTCCCTGTGGTCTCTTTCCTCCTGGTTTCCTCACCAATATCCTATACACACTCCTCTTCTCCACCATTCGTGCTACATGCATTACCCACCTCTTCATCCTTGACTTGATCATTCTATGTACAGTAAAACAAAATTCTGACATACTTGAAAGGTATGGTTTTTAAAATGGGGGTCATTAAAGATGTACCCGAGAATATAGAGTGAGAAAATGTAATGCAACAGATCAATTCGGATAATCAGAACAAAACGCTACACCTTCCCAGGTCACAGAAGCAGTCACACTTAAGATGAGAGTCAAAGAGACAAACGAAGAAACCAAGGAAGAAAGATAGGCAAGAAAAGAATTGGGGGCAGTATGTTTGACGTTTCTGATGCCGAGAAGCAAAAGATGAAGGATCTTGTATTAAAAACACCTAAATTTCAATGGCAATCAGAGAGCAAATAGCGAGCAATGACCCGTAATTAAGAAACAGAAGGAACTAAACCAAATCATGGATGTAATAAATGTCGGATTTTAGGAAGCTTGGAAACTTGTTGAAAAATAGTCACAATCCTGGCGGTCGAACCCTGCCTTCTCTTCATGCCTAGAAAGCATTTCCCCCTCTTAAAACGGCCGCGAAATAAGCAACTATACAGGAGCCGTGGGTAAGTAATGGCTCTGTAACAACGGCCGTTGTTAGGCAATGCCTGAGTAGGAATCACGTGGCCACCCCAACAGACACGAACACATCAATTGCACTGCAGCAGACGAAAGGTGTTTTCTGTGTGGTCCGTGATGAGATGTTATAAACAGGTCAAGTTAGGAGTTGCAGTTAGTTGTTAGATAACCGCTAGGGCTGAGATGTTGTGAGATGTTGCTGTGAGAAACTGGCGTCTGGGGCCGCGGACAATTCGGGAACCAACAGGAAGTGGAACGTCAGCCGCTGAAAGCCGCTACCAGGCAACCGCTAGTGAAGACTGTAACAGACTGAGAAGACCTAGTGTGTCCTATAGTGAGCAGTAAAGTGTTCAGAACAGTGAGAGCACAATCCGTACTAGTAGTTAGATGGCCCAGGCCTTATTCAGTTCTGTAATCATTTTTTACAAATGACAGGACCCCTTGGAGGAGCGATCAGCCCGTCGTAAGGCCGTTACCTAGACAGAGGACAACACAAACACAGAATAAACTCATACACACAACAAACATCCATGCCCTGGGTGGGATTCGAACCCACGATACCAGCGTCCGAAAGAGGGAAGACAGTTCATGCCTTAAGGCGCGTCCACATTACTCGTGCTCATGCTCGTGCTCGTGCTCATTGGGAGACTCGTCTTGCTTTTACTTGTGCTCGTAAATTTTCGTCCACACTATTTCTGTTGCTAGCCAGGCTTCGGCGCGTGAGGATCCGTATATTTACTCGTAGTGTGTATAGGCTGTAGCCGTATTTTAATTTACTGGCTATAGTTCTTAAATTAAAAATTTAAAATTTGCATGTCTCGTGACTTGACATATCGTCCACATTACTCGCAAGCATAGCGAGTCTCACGAGTACGAGCACGAGTAATGTGGACGCGCCTTTAGACCGCGTGGCCACTGTGACCGGCAGTCACGAGTTGTAGGAAGAGTTAAATAAACATGTTTACCGATTCAAACACCGTCTGTAGTCACTAATATCAAGCGACAATTTTATCCTGTACTACGCTTATCTTTTCTAAGTTATCTCTTCCCTTCAGGCTATGGGGTTAAATTTGTATTTGCATTTCTGCGTTCTAGTCCAGTTTTCAACTTCGTTTCTTCCTCTCGCTTAGGACCAAATATTTTCTTTAGAACTTTCTTCATAAACACCTTTCATACACACTTATCTTTCCGGAATTTCAATTTAGACGAGATAAAAAGTTTAACATTCATTAAACTTTTGTATGTGTGTGTGTGTGTTAAAAATGAATCCACGTTTTCAAGAAGTTAGTTTTGTCATTGAGTTCTTCCAAACTATCTACAAGCTGTAAGTTTATACATCGAAACTGATCTATATGACGGTCTCCGCCCTGCGTCAACACGCATACACCTACACGACCTACCCGCCTCGTGTTTCATCAATATTTCATTGCATGCTCAAAGACTGTCTTCATGACGCGCATAATATCTTCATTAATCCTGACTTCCCAAGTGTTCAGTCATTGTGAATCGCCTCTCTGACGGATAAGGACCTAAAGGACACGCAGGATTATATTTCTGATAAACAGTTGCCTGACTGTTGCAACTAACGGTGTTACATATGGAGAACAAGAAATACAAGGTTGATACAGCACGGGCTAACAACCTTAACGAAAGTCGGTTTAAGACACTTTTGTTTGTACTGCGATTGGGGGGAATTCCAATTAACGTGAAGTCAGTATCAGCAGTTAACACCGTGTATGATGCGACAATCATCCTGTGTTATTACGTTACTATGATGTGTCTATATGTGGATACGTTTGCACACAGACATCATCTGGTGCAAGCTATGAAGAAACTGCGTGTGATAATGGGGATGCAAGGCTGTGTCTGGATGCACTTCAGTCTCAGGTATGTCACATTTCCATTTCATATTAAAAAAAATGTTAATGCTAGTGGGGTGGGACTAAGTCCCTTGTACTGCGGCCACTTCTGGCCTACTGTACCAGCCCCAGATGATAGGTGAGGGTGATTGTGGAGCAATTGGTGGAATGAAGATTGGCAGGGGAAACCGAAGTACTCGGAGAAAACCAGCCCCAGCACCAGTTTGTCCACCACAAATCCCGCTTGACCAGACCTGGGAACGAACACGGGGCGCCGCGGTGGGAAGCCAGTGACTAACCGCTTGAGCTATGGCGCGGCATACTTTCAAAATTACATAATATTATATAAGTTATGTGCTTCTTCTTATAAGAATCGCTTTTCTAAGGGTATTCAGAACTTCATAAATGTTATAGCAAACAATTTTTAATTCATATATTTAAATATAAAATAAACTGTAACATTTTAGAGACGAACACAATAATATTTCTAGTCTGATTATTACTATTATTATTATTATTATTATTATTTCTCTATATATTTGAATTGAGATCCTATATTTGTGTTTATATAAATTAAGACGACGACGAATCCTGTGTTCTGAATTTCAATATGATAAGCAACAGTCGGCAACGTGAACTGCGAATATATGAGCTTGTATGATAATGCTTACGTCACGAAGCCAGTTATTAATAACTGCACCATAATGTTATTGCACTCGTAAAATTTACTCTAGTTAAGGCCGGACCATAGATCAAGCGGTTAGTCGCCGGGTTCGAGCCCGGGTCTGGTCAAGTGGGATTTGTGGTGGACAAAGTGGGACTGGGGAAGGTTTTCTCCGAGTACTTCGATTTCCCCCGCCAATCTTCAATCCCTCAAATTCTCCATCATCATAATCACCCGGGGCAGGCTACAATAGGCCAATAAGTGGCAAATATGCCGAGGGGACCCAGCTGGACTCCATCCCCCACTATGCGATTTAAAAAAAATAAACTCTAGTTATATTTATGGTAACTGTGACGTCTAACACCTGCTTAACCTGACGGGAAGCTATACATTTCCTAAGAAAACTGGGATCATTATTATTTTGTATTCGTATAAGTTATTAAAGTAAATGATATAAATATCAGTGGCAAAGAGAATACATAA